AAGTGGAAACTACTTGTGGCTGGGGAATAGGATTAGTTTCTCTAATCCTAATTTGAGACCCCACGTATCTTACAAGCATCGCATGCGCATAGCACATGCGCAATGGAACGGAATCACATGCGGCAACATCGCAGGATCAAAAATAGAAGTGATTTTTGAAGGATGCAGCTATCTGGTCAAAATTGCATCAATTTCAAGCTTCATCTACAGCCACTTCATTTGTCAACCAAATTATAAGAGGTCTCACTAAGTTACCATAAGTAGGTTAGATTCCAGCTGACCACCTTTTTTGTCCTTATGCTTGGTTAATTATCGTAAAGCGTGGTATCCTGCACTGACGAGATCCGTCACATGTTAGACGAAATTTAAGCATGAATTCATCGAGGTCGCAGGGCGGTGCGCCGAGGACCTATTCTCACAAATCTACAATCACAGTTCCAAGGCTCCAATTCCTTCCAATTGAAACAATCTTACAAATCTCTTCTGACCATCTTCTCAAACGAACTGAAAGGTTGGGACATGACTCTCCATTTCGAAGGGAGGGTTAATGGGAGGAATTCGTGATACGGTCTCACCGGGAACCGAAGGAAGATTGTCGCGTCAGGAAGACTGTTAAATTGTGAAAATAAGTCCTCGGTTCAACGCTCTGCTACCCCGATGAAAGTGTGCCAAGCTTTGGTCTGTACCATCGTGACAGACATCATCAAAGCAAGATTTCATACTTTACGAAATAGAGCAAAAATATGCTAAACCAAGAGAATAAGGTGGTCGTCTACAATCCTAGTCACTTTTTTATACAGCTAACATCGCGATCTGAATGAGGGATCCCCTAATTTGGTTGGCTATTTCAACCCTACTCTACATGCTTGCAAATAAGTGAAGTTAACTTCTCGAACCGGAACTGCCTTCGGTGCCAGCTGTTTAATCACACAAAAACTAGCTGAATCATGTTTGGGCTTGTGCTATTGTCTATTGTGTGTATGTAATGCTCATGTCATGGGAAGTGTGATAGTTGTAGCTAGACTCGGGGCTAATCCAGCCTCCTCTCACTCAGTGGCTCTTCCTGCACCCCCCTCTCTCCCTATTCTTAAGTCTATCCAACAGCCAGAAATAGCTCCTATTCAGTTTTCTAAACTCGTTCTTCCTAGTCAGGACGTTGGCTATTTTGTTAATTTCTATAAGCTCTCCAATATTACGCTTTGATGTGAAGTCCCCGTAATCCACAAAACGTGTTTTGGACCGGTCTATTGAGTGTCTGGTATTGGCCATGTGTTCAGCGAGCTCAGATTTTTGGACCCACAGAACTTTACAAGCGGTAATTGTGTTCGCATAGTCTCATGTGAATGAGTCGACAAGTTGACACAAAACCTTGTTACAGCCTGGTCTATAAAGAGGGTCTGAATATTCTCTAAACGAAGGAACTACTAAAGAAAGTCTTAATTTCTCTTTATACATTGTTTTTATGTTCCGTTTCCTTAGTAGTTCACCCAACATTTTCGCAAGCTGACTGGAAGGCAAAATCCGAAACCGATTAGAATTGTCCAGTTTTCTATCCACAATTGTTTAACACACGTTTGGTCGAAGGATCGGCTTCACTTGTCTCTTTGACGAGTTGTTGTATGGTTCTACGAATGGCGGTACTCACTAACGATGCCGACTACGATGCCGGTGAAACGTTTGGGAATGTACCACCTCCACGGTTCAACTTTGGGAATGATCATGCAGACAATGGACTCCGGACTAGGTGCGTTCCTCTAAGTCTTCCTCCCTTAATCTTGTTATCCACAATTGATATGGAATTGCCTAATAATCCTAATAGGTAATTGTTTTGAAAAAGAATATCCCTCAATCTATTAATTTCATGGTACCTATGGCTTGCATCTGCTAGACGCAGACCTTATAACTCATATTTTTACTTTATATGTATGGGTCGAGAAGAAATTAATAAGGAAACCCGCAATAAAGACAATTTATTTTCCTTTTATAACTCCATAGTAAACTTAGTGTTTGCATCTATTCTATTTATTAGCTCAATGAATTGCCCCAAACTATTTTTGCCATGTTGCCAAACAGCAAAGTACTCGTCCATATAGCGAAGTAATAACTTTGGAACTAGGAGTGTCTGTTGAAATACGCAAACTTCTAATTGGTTCATGTAGTTATTAGTTAAAATATGGGCTAAGCGAGATCCCATAGCCAAACCCAGTGTCTACTCATACAACTTAT